GTGACCGAGTTTCTCGCCATACTACACATTTCTGAGGAATGTGGCTTGGAACTCTATCTGAATTTCTTTTGAACCCTTTCGTATATTGGGGTCGCGTACGGGCTTGGATGTAGGCTTTTGCGGATATTTCCGTCTCTATGATATTCATTATCTCATCAACAGCAAGATCTTCGTTTTCCCTCATTTTGATGAGCACCGGTTCAACTATATCTCGTGGGAACTTGTGTATAATGGCTTCAATCCACATTGCATCGTTTGTTTGGCGAATATCCTGACCAGCCGATGTCATTTGATTCAAAAGCGCACATATTTTATCAAAAACCAATTCGTTGCTTTCTGCGCTTCTATCAGACTGGGGTAAGTCCATGAGTTGTTGAACGATTCGTGACCTGCTGGTTGCCTTGCTTTCGTATTTTTTCTTGAGGCTTGCTACCATCCACTCATAATTTTGGGGCACGAGCTGAATTCCTTTGATAGCTCTGTCCGACTTTCCCTTCAAACAGTCTTTTAGGAGCATCATTTTCTCTATGACCGTCAGTTTGCTGTTATTGTGCACAAGTGTTTCATATACCGCCCAGAAGTCGGGAAAATCCTCTGCATTTCCGTAAAATTTGGGCAAGTCCACACGAGGGGGTGGAATTGAAGGGGATGCCGGCTCCTGATGGTTGGGCAAGGCGGTGGAGCTGTTAGGTTCGTCCAGGTAGTCGGTTCATGTCTGTGGGGTTATCGTTGTGATAGTCCCTGTTGGTCAATCCCAATCTGCGGGCGATTCGCTTTTTGTTGCTGTACGCTTCGGTAAGACGAGTGTTAAGCATGATGCTAAGTTCCATAGCATCTTTCATCGCTTCTGAAAAATTTGTCTCTGCTTCGATGCTTTCAAGCTGATGTTGAATGTTCTTCCTATCCTCTTTGTTTTTCGTCGTGGTATCATAATCGAATTTAATTTTATCCACAAGCGTCTGTATATTAGATCTTGCAAGATCAATCTGCCCGATACTACCTCTGAGAAGGTCAATGGTTTGCAGTATCTCCTCGAATTGGAGCTGATCGTCTTCAGAATATTTCTGTGGTTCTGCATAAGACTTGAACCGTTCTACCAGAGTCCTTAACGTGAGGACGTTATGGAGGATAGGCTTCCCGTACAGGATCGACTCCATTTATGCGTATTTCTGCCCTCTCAGTGGGTCTTATTGAATCAGAAAGCTCCGATCCACTGGTCAAGCGACCAGATTTTTCACTCTCTGAGAACTAATGTTTGGCCGATGCACCAAAACACTGTTCTCGAGGCGGTTCAGTGGAACGTTTATTGAATCGCAAGGGAAAAAGCCCATCTAATCGACCGTTCAAAGCCTTATATATTGCTTATTGACGAATTGATAAACATTACACAAAAGAGCGCTGGGAAATACATGATAATAAATCTAAACAATGCTAAGCAATGGAAAGTCGCGGCAGACCGCGACAGAAGATGTCCTTGGGTGACAGAAAATTGGTGCTCAGCAACCCAACCGTCGACGCTGAGATGAGAAAATTTGGTCCAAAGTGTCGCAGGACTTTTCGAACAACCTAATAGAAATATAGCCGCCCCAGGGTCCAATGAGACATCTGCTATCTCCGTGTACGGCGATTATCATCTCAAAAACGCTCAATTCACGGAAACCTATTAGCTCCAGGTTTGGTATTTCAAGAGCTAATGCAGATGTGATTATGCATCGATAAGGAATGATAAGCTTTTTGATGTGCTCAGCATCACCTTTTGAAAGAAAATCAGGTGAGAATCAAGTTTTGCTGGAGACAATGCAAGATTTTTTGATCCACAAAATTTTAATTTGTTCGAAGTAACGGATGCAGTGATTATCTTTGCCGAATTTTTCGTTTTCATCATCTTCTGTGATGTCTGCTTCTTCTCCCTCTACCGCGTGAGTGGCGAGAGTGGGAGCGAGAACGCGGCCTCGACATATGTCGCAATACATACGAACCGGTTGATGTGCTACTCGTAGTCGTGATTGCAGTTCCACCTCTACCTCTATCAGGCTGAAACATTACTTCCTCGAGTAAAAGTTGTAGATCAACGTATTAAGTGGACACTAATGCACATCTTACCATTTTCGTATCTAAAGGCACCATTTACCTGGCACTGCCCGCATCTCTAATTCTCGGGTCAAACTTCAATTTGTCCAGAACTTGGTCCCCAACACTTGTCCCCGCATAGCACAAGACCATTTGGCGACATCGGTACAGGAATCAGGGACAGCATCGTGATGTGAGAAATGTTGGAGTCAATACAACCCCCCCCCTCGGAGGGTCTAGGTTCGACCTTTCCCCCACACTACCCTGACACCCACCTGCCACTTTTCTACAAGTTCCGAGCTTCCTACCAGTTTTCCCGAAATTTCCCATATTTAAGCTTCCCATTTATCAAGTTTTTCACC